GAACAGGAATTTCAGTCAGTGTGGATTTCTGTCCGGCTACGCGGCAGTTACGTAAAAAGGTAATAGATTTCGGTAAAGGCACCGGTCAGAGGTTCTCCCTCAGACTAAACAGGCTGCACGTTAACCAAAATGTGTATACTTACTGCCCTGTAACAGATTGTGTTTGTGAAGTGTCTCCTAGTCATGCTTGTGAAACTAACAACACGACGTCTCTCCCTGGCACCAATAATACTGTTTTCGCGCCACAACCGGGCACCGATAATGCAGTTTCCGCACCTGTCCCAAGCAATAATTCACACGCGCCATCAACATAACTATCTAAAAGCCCGGCGACTAACACCATCTCAATATTGTATTCTAACGTGCGAAGTGTGTGCAACAAACCCGATGTCTTGTCATCTTTTATCGACGCCTGTACAGCTGATATTGTTATTCTGACCGAAACTTGGCTTTCTAGTAAGATTGCTGACCGTGAAATTTTTGAGTGTGAAGTTATGTACAAATTTTATCGTTTCAATCGTGACTCCCGCTCAGGTGGCGGTGTTTGTATCGCTGTTCGTGGTTCTATAATATCGAGCGTTGTGCCACTTAACATATTTTTGGAGTTTGTTTGTGCCCATGTACTTGTCAGGAACAAGGATTTTATTTTTTGCACCTGCTATCGACCCCCCACTTCGTTAAATACATCTTACTCTGAGCTTCACGATGTTTTAAATAGACTGGTAGTACGGTTTCCTTCTTAGTCTTTGCTTCTACTGGGTGATTTCAATTTTCCCACAATTAACTAGAAAAACGACACTCCCACAATAAATGATCACTCATCGCGGGTTTTTTCGTTTCTAAGTCTTTGTCTTGATTTTAATTTGAAGCAACTTGCACAACAGCCTACACGATGTTCATCTTATTCTTCCAATGTATTAGACTTCATTCTCACTACAACCCCTGAGCTTGTGTCTCTCTTAACGTACTTACCAGATTTAAGTGACCATTATGTTATTCAGTTTGACCTACAGACATCTGCTTCCTCATGTAAATCATTTAAGCTTATTCAAGACTACAAAAATGCCGATTTTGTTTCAATTAATAATAAATTAGATGCGTTTCTAACCAAGCACATTTCACGTTTTCATACGCGAACGGTTGAAGGAAATTGGTCTCTTGAAACAAGAAGTGAGTGACCTAACTAACCAGTACATCCCTCTGAAGCGGATCCGCTCTAATTCACAGGCAAGGCGGTTTAACGCACGCCTTAAGCGTTTGCAAAATAAAAAGAAACGGTTATTTTGGTACGCTAAATTAACAAAATCTGCTGAGTGCTGGCACGCTTACGAAGCTGCTGATACAGAGTATAAACAAGCTGTCGCACAATCAAAAAAGGAATTTTATCAGTGTACTGATAAAATCCTTGGTGAAATCCAAGGAAAATCCTTGGTGAAATCCAAGGTGAAATCCCCTTGGTGAAATCCAGGGGGGGGGGGGGGGGCTCTGCCTTCCCCCCCCCCTGGATTTCATTAAGGGCCCCCCTCCCTCCCCCCCCCCCCCCCCCCCCCCCCCCCGTAGTCGATGCCTATGGAAAAAGTTGTCTGGAGCAAGAATGAACGTGAATCTTCTAGAAGCCCGTGACCGAGCGTTGCTTTCTAGGCTCTGCGGACGGCAATATGACGGGCCGGCCCTTTTTTCGTGCGTTTGTTTGGCTCTTTGTGGATTTCCAGGAAAACGTGATGACGCGATAGGCTTCCGTATCAAAAGTCTAGTTTGAGGAACTAACTACATAAAAAATCAAAACAAATGAACTATTTTTTGGGTGGTCAGGTGTCTCATTTAGGTAGCTGGGTGTCTATTTTGACCAAAAAACCACGAGACTGGAAAATACAAAAATTGACACTCAGGCTTAGATGTTGAGTTTGGTAAACCCAAATTAGGACTGGTGCGGGAGTCATAATAACAAAAAGCCGAGGTTAAAAATTAACTCGCAGCAATAAATGATACGAATTAATTTTACTACCAATCCAGTGATAAATGCAATGACTGGCCAGGGAAAGATTCTGGGTCGGTGGATATCTTTCACACATAGTTTAAGCAATGTACAAGGTGTCAAAAAAAATGTAATTTTTTTTTTTTTTACAGCGAGAATAAACTAGGCATCGCCGAACGCTTATTCTCCACCCAAAGGTAGCGCTAGAGCTCACAACCAGATGTCAAAGTTTCAGCCCGATCCGATACCTTATTCAAAAGTTATAAGCGATTTTTTGAAAATTTCAGTGAGAAAATGGCGGCCGACGGAGTTTTTGAATACATGGAGGTTTTATGGCACCAGAAACCGAAAACGGGCAAAAATGGGCTTCATTTTCCCATTAAAATTTTCATAAAATCACTTATAACTTTCGAATAAGGTGTCCGTTCGGGATGAAACTTTGGCGTCTGCATGGTTGTGACCTAGTGCTACCTTTGGGGCAGAGAATGAGCTTTAGGAAATGCGTAGTTTATTTTTGCGATAAAAAAAAAACCCAGTACATTTTTTGTGACATCCTGTTCCAGTCTTAATTTACTGATTTATGCGCGCATGTAGTGGTGTGCATAAATGAAAAGATGCAAACGGGTATAGAGTTTGACGTTGTATAAATTATAGTGTAAGCACGCGCATGGTACGCTGTTTAAGAATGAAACAGACCTACATTTTACTCCAGCCTTGACCGTATCGAAAGTTAAGGGTGCATCAAAAGCTAAAGCTTGTATACATATACTGCTCAGGCCGTTATGTTTGAATGCTCATAGTACTTCATTACCCTCAGATTTGGTGTAAGTTGTCTCCTGGTTGCTTACAACAAAAAGAAGGAAATATTCTAACGCTGGGTTGATAGAACTCCACCTGGCTGACTGCTACCAATCATCTCGGCGCCGATTATGAGTATTCACTGCATGCCAACGGTCGCGTGCTTAGAACGAGTTTTTCCCAGATAATTTCATAGTCACAATTGTTCTTGACAAACAAAATGTTTACTCAGGTAAGCGGTCATATGTAAAGCCCATAATATTTTGTATTGATTGTGGCACACGTGACAAGTTGCATAGACTTTTTTTTACTATCCGCGAAATAGAATGCTCCTGGGTTACCTTGGTCTCTAATGCATGTAGCACACAAAAGCACAAGCTGAATCGCAGTGGGAAACGAAAACAATAATGATAAACAATCGCGTAATCACGCGAAAACTGAGGGCTTTGCATGTATACAGACGGTAAGCTTTATTTTACTAAACATATAACCAGTAAAGTATTGGGTTTTATCGCGCGAGCGAAGCGGAACATAAAAGTGCGAGCATACTGCCCTGAACTACACTTCCAGTGAAGAAGCGCGCCATCAAAAGCATTGAGCTCGCTTTTATGGCTTTTGGTGCGCTTGAACCTTTGAAAACACAATTATATTCAATTCTAATATTTCAATTATTTTTATTAAGTGCGCCTATGTGTGTCTTCTATGCTTGTCTTTTGCGTTCACGTGCCATTTTCTTATATTTTTCCAGAAGTCTGACAACTATAATCTGTTTGATCATAAGTAAGAGCTACATAATCAAAGATGCATACAAAAAAGAAAGAATCAAGGAACGCGTACACGCTAACACACATTAAAAATGAAATGTAACGGCGCATTCAAAATTAGTCGTTCGTTTTTTAGAGGGCAGCAGTTGCGTAGGGCGACACTGTTACCCGTTAAACATTATAAAAAATAAAGTACAACTGTTAGCTCGGGGTCCTTAACGTGCATTACGCAGTATATGTGGTACACGATCGCACGACGGTAGGATGCAGATGGGCGATTGAACCCAGGGTCCCTGCTAAAGGGGTATCCACACGAAGGAGAACTCCGCGGACGGATGTCGTGACGTCAGCAACCCAGAAAACTCCGTCCTCGCGGCTCCACTCGACGCAGAACTCCGCGGACGGATGTCGTGACGTCAGCGACCCGGGAAACTCGTTCTCGGCTTTATACTTTATACGCAGCCGAAGCTACAAGCGCGAGCTCCCGGCTTTCAGCATCCCTGCCAAGCACGCGCTCTCATGCAGTGCAAGCGCTGTTCAGGGCCACATGCTCGCACTTGTTGCATCAGCTGCGTTTGGACTTAAAGGAGCTGTGCAACGATATTCAATTGGAATGTTTTTCTCTCTACACTAGCTTACTGGCACACCTCGGACTCAAGGATACTCACACGCAACACCATTGGCCAAGAAACTCCTTTGTTGTGGTGTAATTTCAAGGACAAAAGCGATCATTTTCATTCAATCTCTCCTTTGCAAAATTTGATGACGTAACTCGGGGATCGCAGTACACCCAAGTGACGATATTTGAATGCGGTTCACAGATTGGACCCGAGCATTGCGTGGGCACTCGACTTGGGCTCGTGACAATTGCTAGCTCGAGAAGCATTCGGGTTGTGACCCGTGTCCAATCGCTGCAACGACGACAACAGCCGAGCCATAACAATGTCTGGAACTCAGCGCGTGTCCTGCGCTTTGCCAACCCCTGCGCGTGGCTATGATCAACACTGGCGGCATATAATCGGCTCCAGATCACGTGGCCGCTTGTTCTGGCTGCGAGTTGAGGGGGTGAACGCCGCTCGTTTTTCTTAAATTTTTTTCTGGGACTTCTATTGCGTGGGGTGAAAAACGAACGCGTGTTTCCTAGGTCATTAACGTTAGGGATCCGATTTAAGCGGTATTTGTGCACAGTACAAAAATTGTTGCATCGCTTTAAGCTGAAACGAAGTGTAGCATCCACACGGACGGCGAACAGTCACGAGGGATATCAGTGTTACCAGCCGAATTTAGCGGTCGCACTCTCAACAACAACGTTCGGAGCACGCTGTACAGAGCGCGAGCGCCGTAGTTTTAAGAACAGGAAAATGGAGGCGCAGATGAAGCGGCGGTTTGCCGTTATGGCAGCAGCGCTGCTAGAAACGGACGACGACGACGTTCTACCCACTAAAAGAAGGTTCTGGGTGAAAGATTGGATGGAGAAGAAAGAACTTGGGATGCAGAACCAATTGTACGAAGAGCTGCTAGAAAGCGACTCCATGGAATATCGAAGACTCCTTCGGGTGCCCCATGACATCTTCGTTGAACTACTGGCCCGCGTCCGTCCGCGAATACAGAGGCAAACGACGAACATGAGGCGTCCTGTGAGCGCGAAGACCCGTCTCCAGCTGACACTGCGATACTTGGCATCTGGTGAGTACGTGCTTGTTAAAATCAGTCACCAATTTTCTTTGTGCTGCTGCGATTATACTGGGAAGGAACCGAGAACCGATTAAGTTGAAAAAGAAACAGTCAATTAGGATCCTTCAAAGCTGGCGTGTCTAGCTTACCTCCAGCAGCGACCAAAAATAGCAGTTGTCCATAGGGTATCAAAGCATTTATCTGCAAAAAATGAAGATGTATCCGTGTCATTTTGGACACAATTTTTTCATTAGCTATAACAATTAGAAGAGCATTATTTTTTATATTTATTTTAGCTTTACTTATTCCTTACTCAGGCCATCATTCGGAGCTTGAATGTTCATTGTTGAGTGGTGGGTGTTTGTGCAACATCCATAAGTTAGGGGTCATATCCTGTTACCCAATAATTTTCCCGATATAAAGATAAATGCAGTTGCAATTAGAGCTTCTTTAGCGTTAGCCAGAATGCGCAATAATTTTTTATTTGTTTTTTGTTTTTTTAGGGGAATCCCATCACTCCCTGAGCCGACAGTTTCGCGTCGGCCACAGCGCTGTGAATGACATAATTCACAGCACGTGCGCTGTGATCTACGACATGCTGAAGGACGAAGAACTGGCAGCACCCAAGTCGACGGACGCCTGGCTGCGGGTGGCTCAGCAGTTCAGCGACCGGTGGCAGTTCCCAAACTGTGTGGGTGGCATCGACGGGAAGCACGTCGCCATTATAAAACCTGCAAAGTCCGGAACTGTTTACTATAACTACAAAAAAACGTATAGTATCCTTCTTTTTGCACTTGTTGATGCTAGTTGCAAGTTCCTGTATGTCGATGTCGGGACGCCCGGCTCCAAGGGAGACGCTGCCATCTGGCAAACCACCCCTCTTCAGAAGGCAGTCACAAACAGGAGTTCTGGGCTACCAGACCTGGTAGACATGAACACTTCGTCTGGGCTCCAGCTTCCACCTGTGATCGTGGGGGACGACGCGTTCCCTTTATCATCGAACTTGATGAAACCCTTCGGCGGAAACAGCCTAACACCTGAACAGAAGATCTTCAACTACCGGTGAGTTTTATTAAAAATCGTTAACCACATACCTCTTAAATAAATTTTGCCTGAACCCGCTTGGCATAGTATGGTGTGACCGTCTTCATGGCGTCGAGGTAATGTTTTGGCCTCCGGAGTACTAAGACGAGGGTTTGAACTATGGGTGGTCTCTTCCCCGAAAAGTCTTTGGGGTACACGTGTCGCTCATATCCTCAGTTGCTTTGCGACGTAGAACCCATATTTTTTTTTTCAGTATGGTTAAATTTTCGCGTACTGCAGTTTTATGGATTTCAAACGCACAAGAAAACAAGGTGCAATAAACACGCAAGTAGGCACAACGAACAATGACGCACCCTTGTCTCGTTTATCAATAATGATATTCGCCTTGACTACACGTCTTCCTGTTTCTGCGGGATAAGTGAAAGGAATGAAATCAGCTTGGTTGCACATACTCGTGCATACCCAACGTCTTGTCTGTGATACATTGAAGTTTTCAGTGCACAAATTTGACTCTAAGGTACAATTTTGATGCAAATGACTGCAATTTTTTTTTATTTATTTATTTCAGGTTGTTTCGAGCGCGGCGTGTGACCGAAAATGCGTTCGGTATTCTGGCTCATAGGTTTCGGTTCCTCTTAACCACTGTGCATGCTAGACCAGAGAGAGTGCGCACGATGGTACAAGCAGCGTGTGTTCTGCACAATCTCCTGAAGGGACATCCAGACCAACTCGAACAACCCAGGACAAGCAAAGAGCCTGGAAAGAAGCCAACTTTCTTCAGCCTCAGGCCGTCGAAAGCTCGCCCCGGAGCCCTCGCTGTAGCTGTCCGAGAGAGGCTCTGCAACTATTTCAGTGGAGAAGCTGCCGTGCCTTGGCAGAACAAAGAAGCTGGCGTTGACATCAGTCACCTTAGGAAGCAGGCGACCGTGTCGGTGCCTCCAGGCATTTAACACCCTGTGAAACGTTGCCTTGCGCAGCTCTACGAAGGACTGCAGTTAAACATCATTCTTCCTTTTTTGTTGTACTATCGGGGAAAAATGAAATACGAACAGAGGAGCGCGTGGCTCTCGGTACAGGCTGCGCCACCTGGAAGTGAGGCTAGGGACAAGGGTGTGTGGCCTACTCCGATGTGTGTACGCCCTTCGATCGGCACTCCCCTAGCTTCGGCATTGCACCGCTTGGTGCCCTGAAGGCTATCACCGCTATCGTTGCTCGCTCGACGCGTGCGGCGCGAGGAAGCTCGCCGCTACTAGCATGCTAGAGCGCGCGCTGGCTGAGCGCGCGCGCAAGCTGCTACTAGCGGCGAGCTTCCTCGCGGCGCACGTGTCGAGTGAGCAACAATAGCGGTGATAGCTTTCAGCGCACTAGAGGTGCAATCCCTCAATGCCTAAGCTTGGGAAGCACCGAGCGAAGGGCGTATACCATCGGAGTAGGCCACACACCCTCGCCCCTAGGCTCACTTCCAGGCGGCGCAACCTGTACCGCGAGCAACGCGTTTTTCTGTTCGTATTTTATTTTTCCCCAATAGTACATGCTACATTTTTTCTGAAAAACACGTAATCACTTTTCGGACTGAAGTTTTTATGTGTGCTACCATGGAGCAGAACGAAAAGCTAAAATCATTTGTTCGTCGAAGTTTGTTTACGTGCCAAACTTCTGTGTGTTCGAGGGGAACATATCAAAGCAAAACATTAGCAATACTTAAAATCGACCCGATGCAGAGGGGGTCAGCAGCTTGCGACCTGCTGCAAGCTCTCTGGTAATATCTGCAATAATAACTTACATTTAAACGTAAGGATCTAAGAACTGCAATGTTATGTCATGTAAAGGGTATTACTCCAGAACAATTGCTTGCAATGCGATGGAAAAATTCAGACGGGTACTTTGAGACACGTTTAATCCAAGTGTGCAGCGATTGCAGACAAGACCGATATCTGGCATCTAGCCCTCGCTGCCAGAGACATCGACCGTAAATATTCGGCCACCACCATGCCAAACGCAGCACTGTCATCTGGTGCTGGTGGTGGTGCTTCCATGCACTCTGTTAGCCTTGTAAGGGCTGCCGTCCTCTGTTCCATGAGGGACAGTTCTGCCCCGTGCACCCTCCTTTTTTTGGGAGGTGCAGACGCCGATTCTTTTCCTGTCAAGGAGGGGCCTGCCCCAGAGGCGGCTCCAGGACTCGGTTCAGGGCTCTGTGCTGGGCTGAGCGCATCTTCCGGGCTCCTCTCGTCAGAATCCTGCAGCCGCATGCCAACACAGTTGCTAGAAACCCGCACATTATTGTGTCCTAAATACAGCTGTGTCTTTAACAATGACCGCGGTGGGACTGTGAAGCCTGTCATATAAAATATATTTTGATAAAGGTGCAAATTTCCAACTGTTTTGTCACCTCCTCCATATTTTCTTCTTTCTGGTACCCGCCTGTACGGTAAGGCGTACAGGTATAATAACAAAAGTACAAGGCAGCAAAGAAAAAGCATTTCTTCCCACTTGAGGACATTGTAATAAGGCTAGAAGCTGGTTACTCTTTGACTCACCAAACTATAGAGAGAGGTAAAAAAAAAAAGAACATCTAAAAATAACTGCTTGACTGTAATCATGAGGTTGAGATGTTTCGTGTTTATCCATTTGAGCATTCATCTCTGGTTTTAGTATGTAAAATGTTCCTTGCTCTTATTTACGTGCCACCGCAGTCATGCATGATTGAAAAATTTCGGATGCACAAACACATATAGCACACTTAGGGCTCATTCACACTGGAAGCGGATCCGCGTTCGCAAAGCGGTTGCGAACGCGGTTGTATAAGGATTCAGTACAATTGCACGCGCATTTGATGACATCAAATGCGCGTGCAATTGCACTGGATCTTTATACAACCGCTTTCGAAACCGCTTCGCGAACGCGGATCCGCTTCCAGTGTGAATGGGGGGTTACCCTGCCCAGAGGAACTCCTGCAAAGTCGAAGCTGGACATCCCCATCCCTGCTCGAGTTGTCGCTCCATCCAGGAAGCGCATGGCCGAAAAGAACTTCCATTTTCCGCTGTAGGCTTCGTCAGCTGCCTGGCCACTTTTTGTTTTCAAAATCTTCTTTCTTTCGTCTCGGTACGTTCTTCTTTTATTTTGAAGAAATCCTTTCAAAAAATCTGTTCACAATAAAAAAAAAAAAAAGAAAACCGTCAGAGCTGGGCAAGCACAAGCCACACTATTTCTGTGAAAGCTGTGACACTTGCAATTTGATTAAATGTATAACCTTATAATTAATACGTAACTTTAGCGAAATATGCCTGCTCGGGCTCGTTCGCTACCGGTGAGAGCACCTGGATTGAAAACTCGCACTACAGAACCGCAGGCATACCTAGAGTCCCCTGCGCACAGTTGCGTTTGAGTGCGTTTGACTGCGTTGCGGCTGCGAGAAACCAGGGGCCCTAAACTCGTCAAACACAAAGTTGGAGCCGAAGTTGACGGAGTGCGCCGATTGGACAATCACGACGATGACTTGGCGGTTTTCTCGTCGACGTCCAATCGGCGCGCTCCGCGAACTTTCGGCTACAACTTTGTGTCTGACGAGTTTAGGGCTCCAGGACATCCCTGCTTCTTAAAGCTATTCCTTGAACAGAACGATCTCACCACCCAGTTTGACAACGCCTTCACTGTCGCAATACATCGAGGGAACTTTAGTCTTTCTGCATGTGCGACAAGCTCCCTGGTGCTCTGCGCGTGTAGAGCACGAGACGGCACGAACCGCCCGTGCACTCTAGCCTGCCCCCTGTGAACTAAAGTTATGGCGGTGTCACGCACGCGCTGACCACTTGGTGATATCGGTATTCCACGCCTCATACGAAGCACAGATGTGCCGGTTACTCGCTTTCGTGTCTGGGCGCAACGCAGTCGAACGCAAATGTGTGTAGGGGCCTTTATCCGCACGCTCTCGTGATGTGATTTGACTACATTCAAGCGTCCTGTGAGATTGTGATAGTGTTTGAATCGTCAGCAGCCGCAGAGCGCATTTATCCACTGAACAAAGACGTTACTCACCCACTGTGTATGGTGCAAATTGCGGGAACCGTGCAAACATCTCTTCGGCAATTTTCTCCCATATTGACGTCTTGAGGTTGGTCTTTGAATACAGTTCGCTGCTCATGTCCCACAGTGCAGGGAACTCCTCAACGAGAGAAATTAAAAAAACGAGGCGTCGTCATTAAACTTTGCCATTCTACCACCGCACTGCAACAACAATAATGGAGGAGGCGATTTCGAAAAGCGCGTGAAGAACACTGTGGCCCTCGTGGCCAGACGAAGCAAAAGATTATCGCTAAAAGCATCTAAATGCAAACTACTCCGCGGCCGACCTGCGGAGCTCTCGTGCTGACAGAACAAACCCTCCGTGCCTCCGCCACGGAGGAGGACGGCGCTGCGAGGCGTCAAAAAAGGATGAGGTGTATAGGGCCGCCCACACTAGCGAGAAAACGCGCGTGGCACGCCGATCGCGGCAAGTAAAAAATGTCGCCGAAGCACAGTCAGCGCCACGAGCGCGTGCAGAGACACGCCCTTTATCTTCCCGCTTAACCGATTTATCGGCGCGCCGGGCGCGTTTTCTCGCTAGTGTGGGCGGCCCTTATCTCACGTGATGCGCGATCCGCGGATGAAAGTGGCGGATTTCTCCTTCGTGTGGATACCCCACCTCCGCTGTGGAGAAGGACGGCGCCGCGAGGAGTCAAAAAGGAATGACGTATATGCCACGTGATGCGCGATCCGCGGAGGAAAGTGGCGGATTTCTCCTTCGTGTGGATACCCCTTAAGGGGTATCCACACGAAGGAGAACTCCGCGGACGGATGTCGTGACGTCAACATCCCGGGAAACTCCGTCCCCGGCTCCGCCGCGTGCACTTGCGGAGCTTTCGTGCTGTCGGCACGAAGCCTCCGCGCCTCCGCCACGGAGGAGAACGCGCCGCGAGGCGTCAAAAAGGGATGACGTATGTCTCACGTGATGCGCGCTCCGCGGAGGAAAGGAGCGGATTTCTC